CAGGAAATTGCACACAAGGGTTGCAATTTATTGAGCTGGGTGCATCGATGGTGTAAGGATCAGACTCGAAGAAAATTTTAGCAGCTTGCCTCTTTCAGGATCTTCTATGAATGTGTTAGTTTATCCAGTGCGCACTCGAATGATAGCGTCTGCGAGTTCCCTCGTTTTCAAAAAATAAAAATAAAAAATAAAAAATTGCTTCGATTCACAAAATTCATTTCTTTTGAAACAGTCACTAACCGTCTTTGTGACATAAAAATTCATAGATATTAGATACTAATGAAACTAACGAAAAAGTACAACACTCATTTAAGTTGGCAGTGGGACTGCCTCTGAAGGAAAGAAAAAGTAATTTCATCCTCTCAAGTTAGAGAAATGGGGTTTGAGCGCATTTATTACTGGAGCAAGTTTTTAATTAGTTTTAGGTGTATTATTTTAATATGTTATTTTTGGAGGGTAGTGGGTGTAATTATCCAATAATGGGCCATTAATTTTTATTAAAAACTGTAAGGGTATTTTTATTTTAGGAACAATTCAAAAATATCCTTAAAAAGATTACTAATTTTACACTTACTTTTAGATTTTTGTCTCAAAATATTCTTTTTATATTTTAATTATAATAAAAATTGTAACACAATGTGTTATATATATATATATATATTTTTTTTTTTTTTAAAAAAATTTTTTTTTTATATTTTAATTATAATAAAAATTGTAACACAATGTGTTATATATATATATATATATTTTTTTTTTTTTTAAATTGTGTTACAGTTTCACCATCTTGAAGTCGTCACCACATCACTTGTAATACAATACATTACATATATTTTGCTTCCTATTTCTATTGATATCATGATTGCTGCCAACATCGTCCGCCTTCATCTTGTAACATAGTTACACCATCATCATTGACCCACTACTTGTAACATTTATTGTTACATTGCTCGTCCTAAATACAATTGCCACCACCACCACCTTCACTCAAGCCTCCGGGAAAAAGAAAAGAAGTGATCGATCCACCACCACCTTCACTCGCATCACTAGTGATTCCAACCCCAACCCCAACCATCACCATTGAACCACCACGCCTACTAAATCTATGACCCATCTCATCGTCGCATCCATCACCACTACAACCACTTCAGCAATTTCCACCATCGCTTTGTCTCACCACTACCACAATTTTTTTATGAACCATACTCACAAAACCACTAAAAAGGGAAGAAAAAGAGTCATTCTATCCATTACCACCATTAACACACCATAAATCATCGATCCATGCCAATATCTTAGTTTTTTATTTTCTCCCCCATCACCCCCTCTAAAATTCCAAATCCCCAATCCATTTTAATTTGCAAAGTCCAAAAAGTAAAAATCATCAAATTAAACTATTTACAACAACAATTCATTTAACTCCATAGAAATTCAAAATTGAAATTAAGAATTTCTGCTGCGAATTCAATTGAATTTATCTCATCAAATTATCAAGTAATGCGTGAAATAAAGTATAATCTTTCATAATGATTTTACGTTTAATTATAAAGCTGGTAACTATATTAGTAGAATGTTAGTAGAACCTTTTGTTGTGAAGTACTAGAGTGTTTGCAATATGTACATAATTTTTTTCTTATCAAAAATCTTTATTTTTAATTCGATTTATACAGTTTATGCATCATGTTCTTATGTGCTTTACTATCATCATTTGCTCTAATATTTGTAATTATTTTGTAATTTGCAGTGTTATGGAGAAGATTCAAGTTCATGCTACAATTATGACTAGATGTAAACTGCAAATTGTACACTATATTTACGGGAAGCTGGATACAAATTACAAGAACAAGCTTTGCGAGAGATGTTTCAGATCATTTTTAGACTAATGGATATTAGGTTGGCTTCACAAATTGTACTTCAATTACCATTACGAAAGATGAAGACTACCAGAAAGAACAAGTATGGATGAGCAAGATTTGGATTGGAAGAGTTTGTTTTAGTGATACGCATAAATGCATGTGATTGTAACAACATAGATAAAACATTGTGGCGGAGTGTTGGATCATGAAAGAATATTTTAAGAAAACTAGGAGAAAGATTACAAAGGGAGATGCTTATAATGCATTTGTAAGTTGCAAGAAGGAGCGACAAGTATGAGTTAGGATTGTTCGTCATCATGGTGTACGTCCTATGGCCACGAAGGAAAACACCTACACCGATTTATAATGATTGGATTTAGTGGATGATCTCAACAAGTTCAAGAAGTATCCATAGGGAAAATTTTCATTTGAATTCAAACATGAAATGGGAGGTAAATTGAAAAATTCGAATTTTGGAGGGGAGTTATGTTGTCGGTATTCATTGTATGACTTTTCCCTCGCTATAATGATATGAACAAATAATATACTAGATAGAAACGAATATGGAAATGCCTGAAAAGGACCCTAAGTTAGAAGAGGATATGGGAGAAGAGATTGGAGGAGGAAATGGAATTGAGGGATAAGATGTAGGAGTATAAAAAGGGAAAGAATGGTAAAAGAGGTGGCTGGAAAAGAAACAATTGTAGAGGAAGAGCATAAATACGTGGAGAAAATGATGCCCATTGATTTTGTGATATCAGAGAAACCTGACATCGATGCGAATGAATCCAATCTCGATATGTAAAAGAATAATTTGATGTTCAGCTTCATGTTATACCACCAAATTATAATAATTTTAGAATTCTTATTGTTGGTACTTACAATGTGTAAGTGATGGTGTACAGTTTGAGAAGGTAGGACGTGATTCACCAAAAGGACGTGGGTATCATCCATCGAGAAAAACATGCTTATTGTGTTCTCCCTTTACAAACCAGACAAATAGGAAAAAGTTTGTCGGACATCAACGTATACGGTCCTTACCAAGAAGTGGATCCTATGAAGGTTGATGCTCTTGATAAAATAGATGAAAATTCATCTTATAAGTAAATGACTAGACATAGTTGCAAGTACACGTGCAAGTAATGAAATTATTACATAACTCTAACTTTGTGTTGATTGTGTTGTATTCGCAATCAATTTATTCTTATGATGTTTAAGCAAAAAATTTGATAGACCTTTTGAATTAAGAATGTTTGTCTTACTGGTAGTGTAAGTAATCGAACTTTAATGATTTTTCAATAATATTACAAATGAATTCAGTTTGTATTAATTGGTTTCTTTGTACAGATTGGGAATGGGGCCCGATACCAAATACGATAAAGGGCTTTAAAATTTTCAAATTTATTCCAACAATATTGTTACATGTTGGATATTTATTTCTTCCAATTTGTTTTGAATGCACATGACGAGTTGCAACCAAAGAAGGAACTCAATTTTAGTAAGAGTCTATTCAATTACGTGAGAGGGGCTACTTCAAATCTTGGTAAACCTTGGACGAACTACAGATATTTAAATCTTTATTGCTGTATTGGCAACCATTAGTCCACTGTTGCATCCAATTAGGAGGAACGAATAATTTTTACGTTCAATAGTCTGAAGGGTCACATTTGTAAGATAGCTTTGGAAGCTTACATTTTGACTCCGCAGAATGTTATTTCATTGCTGAAAAAATTACAAACCACAAGTGAGAACAAGTATAGCACGGAGAAGTTCACATTTGTAAAAGTAAACGATGTTAAAAAATGAATGGGTAAGGTTAACTAATTTCATATTTGATAAGACTATATTATTTTAGTGTTGAGAATTAATATAACTACACAACTATTTTGTAAATTTGACTCGGGATATTGATTGTAATATATATAAAATTTCTGCAAATGAATATTGATTTATTTGCAATTCACTTGGATTATGGACAAATATGACGAAAGAAATTGGTTGCAGAGTTGTTGACATAGGACTTCTAGCCTTTAATTTATTTATTATTATTATTTGGGTGGGTCGGCTCTTTTATTGATGTTTAGATACAAATGTGTAGTTACTTTGATATTTTGAAGATGTTGTATATAGCTACTAGGTAGTGCATTTGCAATTGTGACGATTAAGAATATTGAAAATAATTGAATTTTAGATATTTTCATATCTTTATAACTTTCAAGTTTACATATGGTACATGTCCAGGATGTTGATTATGTATATATTCACATAACAATCTAGACTCATTCCCATGAATTAGAACGAGATTGTTGTATTTTATAAACAAATAATGTTTTCATGAGCACGGCTTACCCATGAAGTATGTAGCATTTAGATAATTTTAATTGATATATCATTTTATGAAATGTTAGATTTAAGATGTAGAATCAATTAATGTTAGCATTACTCAATTATAAACAACAAGAATGATAACAAAGTCATTTGTTTTTTGCTTGATACTATTTCAATTTTCACTTTTTAATTTTTATAGCATATTTTAGTTAAGTATCAATTATTTTATCAAAATTATACCAAAAATAGTACTTATTACTTATTTTAATTTAATCCTATCATTATCTTATTAAACTTTTATTATTTGTATTTCACTGCAAATAATAATAATGATAATAATAATAATAATAATAATAATAATAATAATAATAATAATAATAAATACCTTATAACCTCTATAGATCAAAAAAGTTGGGGGGATTAATTTATTCATAAGCCCAAGTTGGGACCGAAAAATGTTATTATCATTATTAGAGGTTATTGCTATAAAACAAAGGAAAAGAAAGAACTATAGAAGGGAATTTCGAAGGGAGATACAATCTGAATAAGATATAATCTTTTAAAGTAAAATTAATCCAAGTATCATGCTAAATATTCATCAATAATTATCCCATAATTTTATAATAGCTAAAATTTGTAGATCAGTATCATAGATTTATAGAGGTTAACACTGTATTGAACAATATGGTAAAAAGAGTGATTAACTATTTGGCCGACCTAATAAATTACAAATGTTTGAACTTTGAATGTCTTTAAGTTATATATATATATATATATATATATATTGTTGACAAAAAACTGCTTTCGAATAGCTGCAAGGATATGAATAGCTACTGATATATTGCATCAAAATAATTTTTTAAGCACCAAAATAAGGACACAAAACTCAGGTCAATGACATGAAATTATCTGTTATTGTGAGGGTATAACTCAACAAATTCAAGGTGAAGCTGTATGTAAAGCAAGCAAAACATCGTCATTCATCAACTATATTCTGAAAAGAGATGAACCAATCTCTGTAAATTCGCACAGACGGGATACTCCAAAAACTGCCTCTGAAATGTCTCACCGTCACCGAGCGGCCTTTGGAGCTTTATCGGGTAGGATATTATCTGGAAGAATAAGTTCTGAGGGAGTTTCACGGACGACACCAATCATTGAATCATACTCCTCATCACGATGGGAGGACTTCTTTCGTAGCATCTTTTCAAACTCGATCTCATCAAAGGGCTTCACATTTTCAGCAGCATGTACTTTTGCAAGGTTTGTATAATTGGTGGCTGACTGGGAGATGAAGGCTATCTCTTTGCCTGTAAGTTTCCTGAGGAACTTGGCCGGATTACCTCCCCAAACCTGCAATTCACAAAAAAGTTAGATAGTTCAACCACAACTGTACAACTTTTAAGTTCATATTTTGCCCATAATACCGGACATGACTAGACAAATATAGTTAACAATATTTTTAGCTTCTTTTTTTCTTCCTTAATACTAATCAATGCTAATGCTAATACTGATCAATGCTAATGCTAATACTATGTCTTTATCCATACCAAACATGCCACAAGGCAATTTTGGAATGTAGTATTAGATAGGACAACACAATCTTATATAGAAGATTCTAACTTTTTTCTTTTTAATTGATTATTCAGCGCTATATAATCCACCTATCAAACAAGCCATAAGATCACAATTACATACAATTGCAGTACTGCACTCAAGAAACAACAGGTACTCCGATAATTGACTAAGTTCATAGCCAGGCTCAGGGATGCCTGCCTACATGAACTCTCTAATCACATTTTCTCACAAGGCCGATAAATATGGTCTTTATTATGAAATCTAAAATGCCCTATAGATTAGCATATATATATGCGTGTGTGTGTGTGTAATCCTACAAAATATTTTGAAAAAACTACTGAGCGTCTTTATGGTGCTAGTGGTAAAAAATTAAATATTAATTACAAAATTTCAAAAGCTCATATTTGTAATTCAAATATTTATTTCAAAAATATCTTTTATTTAGTAAAAGATCTAGATCAAGATGTAATTCTTGGTACTCCTTTTATTATTCAAATTTATCCTTTTAAAGCAGATTATAAAGGATTAACTACAAAAAATTTTGGTAAGAAATTTTTTTTTTGAATTCTCAAATCCTCCTTATAAAGATGTCAATTCTTTAAAAGAAGCAGCAATTTTAAAAATTATTCATAATATCAATCTCAAAAGAAGTCATATTCAATTTCTTAAAGAAAAAAATTCTTTTTCAAAAAACTGAGAAAGGATTGCAAGACTCTTCTATCAAAAAACAAATTTGTGATTTACAAAACAAAATAGAGAAAGATATTTGTTCAACAATTCCAAATGCTTTTTGGGATAGAAAGAAACATGTTTCTCTTCCTTACAATTCTGATTTCCATGAATCAAATATTCCCACAAAATCTTGTCCTATTCAAATGAAAAAAGAATTGCTTGATTTTTGCATCAAAGAAATCAACGATTTACTTGAAAAAGGTTTAATCCGTCCAAGTAAATCTCCCTGGAGCTGTTCAGCTTTTTATGTCAATAATTCTGCAGAAATTGAACGAGGAGTTCCTCGTCTTGTCATCAATTACAAACCACTCAATACTGCTCTTCAATAGATTCGATATCCAATTCCTCAAAAGAAAGATCTTTTGAATCGTCTTTGCAAAGCTATCATCTTCTCAAAATTTGATATGAAGTTAGGATTCTGGCAAATTCAAATTAAAGAATAAGATAGATAAAAGACTGCTTTCAATGTTCCCTTTGGACAATTTGAATGGAATGTTATGCCATTCGGTCTCAAAAATGCTCCTTCAGAATTTCAAAAAATTGTGAATGATATTTTCAATCCTTATTCAAATTTCATTATTGTTTACATCGATGATGTTCTTATTTTTTCACAAAATTTAGAACAACATTTCAAGCATATTCATACATATCATTAAGAAAAATGGTTTAACAGTTTCTGCTAAAAAGATTGTTTTATTTCAATCAAGAATTCGTTTTCTTGGTCATTTTATTCATAATTCCACAATTACACCAATTCAAAGAAGTTTTGATTTCACTGATAAATTCTCAGATGAAATCATTGAAAAAACAAGTTTGTAACGCTTTTTAGGTTGTGTCAATTATGTTGCCGATTTTGTCAAAAATATACGTCAAATCTGTGCTCCATTATTCAAAAGATTACAAAATAATTCTAACCCATGGAATCATAAGTGCACATTAACTGTCCAAAAGATCATAAAGTTAGTCAAAAATATTTCCTGTCTTTCAATTCTTGATCCCACAGCTTCAATTATTGTTGAGATAGATGCCTCAAACATGGTTTGGTGGTGTGTTAAAGCAAATCTCACTATAGTAATCTCAAGAACAGTTGGTTAGATTTCATAGTGGAGTTTGGACTGGCCCTCAAAAGAATTACTCTACCATCAAAAAAGAAATTCTTTCAATAGTGCTCTATATTTCAAAGTTTCAAGACGATCTTATCAATAAAAAAATTTATTTTGAAAACATATTGCAAAGTCTCAAAAGATGTTTTACAAAAAGACGTAAAAAATCTTGTTTCAAAACAAATCTTTGCAAGATGGCAAGCTATTTTGTCTTGTTTCGATTTCGAAATACTTTATATACAAGGAAAATCAAACTTCTTGGCAGACTTCCTCACAAGAGAGTTCATTCACAAAAAGAGTGAAAATGAGTTGGGAGAAGCAGATTGAAGAAGAGGATCGAAATCCTTTTCAAACAAAAACAAGTAGAAAGAAAAATTCTACTCCATTCTTTTAAATTATTGATCTCCCAAAAGATCATCAAGAAGTCTTGTCTTCTTCAAACACCCTTTCAATCATTGTCAAAAAATCTGATTAAAAACTCAAACAAAAAGCCTCATCACCTACCTCTTCAAATTACAAAAAAGCCGTTCAAAGTACTGGAAAACATCCTCAAATTAACCCTCCAAATACCTTCAAATATTTTACCAAAAATATCTTTGAGAATTGCCTTGATATGAAAATATCTTGGCTCAATAGATATTCAAATTTGGATAAATGCCTTTTAAGTATTTTTCCAAAAGACTTTTCGTTTATGTCTTCAAACATTCAAAAAACTCGAGAATATTATGAGACTATCCTTTCCAAAACAGGATCAGCTATAATTACTCACACTCCAGATCTAAAAGACAAGTCAATTATCATGTTTTCAAAAATCAATATTCTCTGATTTTTGTCTTACGAAGATTGGGGACAAAACCCATGGGAAGAAAAGAGACTCAAGCTCTCTTCAACATTTTTCACAACTCAAGAAAATTTCAATTATTTTAATTACCAGAATGCTTGGTATAGAGTCTTCCTTTTTAGACCTATGACTCATTCCTTTTAATCAAAATTATCATCCTCATTCAAAATGGTTTCAAACATAGTTCGTTTATCATGGACTCGAAGAGCAAATTCTTCCTAGTCTCACTCTTCAAGGATTTGAATTTTTCAAAAACGAAACAAAACCCTTTCTGAAAATTCAGGAAAATATTTTATTTCAATTCGCTTTCAATATGAAAGTATCCTGGATTTTTTGCTGGGATTTCTTTCAATATCAAAATCTCAAAGATGAATACTTTACTCAAAAGATCACAAGAAGATTCAAGATCAAATGGTGGTTAAAATTCAAGGAAACAAATTGTTGTCCCAAAGCAGTTCAATCATGGATTCAAAAACAAAGAAATTTAAGTGTTCCTAAATTCTCAAAGAAAGAACTAGAAAGTCAAGTTGATTTCTTGACTGAAAAACAAAGGATCATTTCAATGTTATCAAAATGTAAAGATCCAAAAGAATTATTAGAAATTTATGAACAAATTTCTAAAAAAGGATCTACAAAATCAAATTCTCAAGACTCAGATCATGATCAAGAATCTCAATATTCACAAGAAACTGATAATGGTGATGACTTAATTGATTTAGGATATGACTATGAAGAGTTTCTTGCTCAAAAAGATGCTTCAAACAAATGACTACATGGACCCAATTTTCTTGATGAATTGAGAAATTTTCGGGTCTATAGATCAAGAGAGATTCTTCTCAATCTTTGCCAAGATCATTTTCAATGGTGCAAAATTTGTCATGATATCAATCAAGTGTGTGGATAACATCAATCACTACTTTAATAAAGAAAAGGACTCTTTCTATACATTCTATAGCATTATCAGTGATTTTTATATGGTTATTGAGTCTTTATTATCCTGAGTTGAGAGCGTCTCCCAAAAAAAGTAACATGTACCTCATTAAAATGAGCAACGAGTTCATGTTTGCCCTTTCTATCTTTCCTTATTTCTTTCTTTCTTGCTTTTGCATCTTTATCAGTACTACTGTCCTTTCCAACATAAAAAATTTTCAATTACAAAGCCAGATGAAAGATTATTCAAATCCTTCTTTTTCCCCGAGCAGCTCAAACCTAATTGACACCTCCAACATCAATTTTTACAGCTATAAGGCCATCTTCAACCCAGCACCAAATTTTGCACCATTTTGCACCAAATCTTGCACCAAACTAAAATTGATCTCCAACCATTACATCAAAAATTACACCAAATGAACAGTATTTAACCATTTTTTTCCCTTTTTTTATTCTTTATAATCTACTTATTTGAAATATTATTTATTTAATTATTTCAGAAATACATAAATTACTAAATAAATAATTAATTAATCGTGTTTGATGTATTTTAAATTATTTTCGTCTTTTAATTAATTAATTAATTATTATGTCTTACATTTAAATTTTATTTCAAACACAAATAATTATTAATATTAATAAAAATAATAATAATTTATTGTATTAAAAAATATATAGCACAAATTACATAAATACCCTCAACAAATTTATTTGGGAAATGTAAAATAAGGGCAAAATTGACATTTTACACTTGCACCATTTTGGTGGTGTTGGGTTGGAGTAATTTTGCACCAAAAAATGGTGCAAAATGGTGCAATGGTGTTGTGGTTGGAGATGACCTAAACAAGCCATTAATCTGATTACCGACATTAATGTATAAACTGTAATGGGTACATTTGAAGATCAAATTCTTCAGAATTCATGGCATCCCTTATTTGCATTTTCAAACCTAAATTTTTTAAAGAAATTTCACTTCCAATTTCTATTTTTGTATGATATTACCGTTCTTTTCAACAGAAGTTCAATTTTTAAGACATGTCGCAGCTGATTTTCCTATTCTCCATTTTCCACTCAGCAATATCACTTCATTAAAGAGTTTAAATATCAAGCCCAAAAATAATTTCCATCCTCACTAATATACATTAAGAACTAATAAAGGTGGATCAAAAACTAAAATAAAGGAAATGGGTGATCTGGGGTTTTAAGAAAAAAATAAAGTAAATAGGCGTACGTTGTTCTTGGAAGTAGTAATTTCCTTGGAGGCGACAGCCGAGACGATCCATTGCTTGGCCCGTCTCTCGAATCCAAAATCCCAAGGTGCAAACTGCTTTCCCCAAACTCCCCATTTCGAATTTACGTCTTCTTTTTCCTCTGTTGATTGATCAGCTTATCTGCCCGGGAAAAAATAAGAAGACTTCTTAAGCTGCGTCGTGCAATTCGATGATTGAAGACTAGAGAGGGATGATTACTGGGCACCGGGTCGTCGCCTGCAAGTGCGAAGGGACCTGAAAGGGTAAATTTGGTATTAAAAAATATTTTTACACGCCTGCGAGTCGCAATTTTTATTTCTTGCACAATATTTTAATTATAATTAAAATTCTTAATCTTTACAAATTGCCACCCTTATTTCTCTAACGAACTTTTATATTATTCTTGTCATTGAACTTTCCATCAATTAACATATTTTGCATTTAATATATATATTTTTTATGGCATTCTTATTTTCAAAATTTTCATTAGTTAACACATTTTTATTTGGTAACAGTTTATGTTCAAAAAATCAGTTGAAATATCGTATAACAACTTATTTTTCATCATATTTAATAAATAAATAAATAAAATTTTCCTCTTATTTCAAAGCATAAAAATAAAATATTATGATATAAATCATCATCAAAGATAGATATACTAATTAATGAAAGGTTAAAGATAAGAATTCGATAAAAAAAAGTTAAGTAAATAATAGCTACAAAAAGAAATGATTGAAAAACTTCAAAAGCAATTTTAAGATATTGCAACAAATAAAAATTGTAGCGTCAATGTAATCAACGATCACACAACATTATGAGAATAAGAATGTGATAAAAAAAATTGAGATATAAATGTGATAATATACAAAGGTTATAAATTTTCTATATAATTAAAATATAGTCTAATTATTAAAATCTGTCATGTGAATATATTTAGCCTTAATTTAATTTAAAACAATCATATTCAAACCAAAATTTTTGTTAACTATACCATATTTTAATGGCAACGAATTTTTTTTAATATTTGCTCATTTTTCACTTATGTTCCCAATTTTTCGCCAAATTCTTATCATCAACTTTTTATTAATTTACAAAATTTGATTCTCATGACAATTTCTGTATAAAAATTTTATTAGGAAAGCATATAACAAATGACAAAAAATCCAACAAACCTGATACCTATGGCCTCACCTTGAACGGGGTGAGGATTGCCCATTTAATCGAGTCAAGTACAGGGTGGGGAATTTTGCCCTGAGGTGGGTATGGTAACAGGGGCCCGTTCCATTTATTTTTTATTAAGAATTCAATACTTTAAAAAGAAATACTTCATGAAGTTTCATTAGTTTTAAAAGAAGATGACAACTAAAATTATCTAAAAAAATATGATAAATAATAAAAATATTAGTTTACCGGATATATTCAAATAATTTAACTTTTAAAAATTTTAATAATTATATTATTATCTCACTCGAATAAATGGGGACAATAAAATGAATTATCAAAAATTATAAAAAAAAAATTAAATGGGTACATAGGTGGGGCAAGAGCCCTTCCCTGCCTGTCGACCTGCCGCACTTTAAATGGGTAACAAACAGGATGGGAAAATGGCCTGCAGGGTGTAGGATCCCCCCCTCATTTCCAACTCTATACAAAAGTTATATCTCTTGTATTTTTAAATAACTAAAATAAATTACAAATACAAAAGTTCAATGTAATATTTGTCGAAGAGTGGTATCTTGTTTCTTGAATTTGAATAAATTGTCTCAAAGATAGCTAAACTTCTGCTTTAGTCCACCATGGGGCTCCCAAAGGAGGTTTCCAGATTTTGTTGGAATTCCTCCAAAGAGGCTCTCAAAAGAGAAAAAAACACAGTGAAGTTTTTAAGAAATGAAACATCCAAACCATGTATCTTAAAAATTGCATACACTAATCATGTTGCTACTAACTGTTAATTTTTCTTGAAAATTTCAGTGGGATGATCTTATATGTACACGTTGTAGTATCATCCATTCAACTGATGATGTAATCATTTGTGTCATAATTAATATTTAGCCCCTGTTTGTATCCCATTTTTTCGAACTTCTTTTTCTATATAATCAATTTTTACCATACATTATGATGTGATCCGGAATAGACTAATCCCGGGACCAAGAACTTCCTTTTTTGCAAAGTAGTTTATTATGACTAGAATTCTTGTTTTTGGTAACTTTTCATATTTTAGGACTTTTAATTCCGTTTTAACAGTATTTTAGGGTTTAGTATAAATAGGATTTTATTTTTTCATTGTAATTGAACTTTGATTTTGAGAGATTAATTCAAGGGGTTGTTTGCTTCCGATTTCTTTGTTCTTGATGGAACAATTTTTCGAACTTATCAAGATTATTATCTTTGGCGTTCAAAGCTACCGAGTGACATTCTTGAATCTTGTAATTAAGAGGTCGACATATCAATTGATTGTTGGTTGCTTTATTCAAAACTACCGGGTGAATCCCCAACCTTGTTTATTTGGCTTTCTTGGGTTTGGTTTCAATCTAGTTGCGGGTTTTGTAGCCATCTCTACTATGCGGATTTACATCGGTTGGTATAAGAGTTTGGGCTCCAAAAATCAAGGTTATATCCCTTTTATTTTTGTTTGAGTCTTTTGATTTTCCTTTTCCTTGTTTTTCCACGTTCTTCGTGTTCTTCATTGTTTTTGAGTCTTTAATCCGTAAAGGTTCCGTCAAAATTTCAAAAATTGTTTTTGGGCTAATTTAACATTCAATTCAACTTTCATTTGTTTTGCGGATAACGTAGTAAGATTTTCTCCCAAAATGAGTTAAAAAAGTCAAAAAAAATTCAAAAAAAATTCCAAAATTCATAAAAAATAAAAAAGTGGGAGAGTCAAAAATTAAAAACAGTTATTATTGTCATCATCATCATCATCATCATTATAATTATGAGATTTACTACCAACATCCTACAATTTGTTTGAGTCAAAAATCTATTCTTTCTAGTCCAGCCCAAAATTCAAGAACCATTTTCTTGAATTTTCATAGTCACATTCAAAATTTTCATCCAAATTTCTTTGAGTCTTTAAAGGTTATAAATTCTCACTTACACTCAGTTTGAATTCCACAAGAATAATTCCTGATTGAGTTCGAAATTGTTCTTTGAAACACTTGGACGGAAGCATTGAGAGGAAAAAAGGTAGAGTGGTGAGACTAATAGAGGGAAAAAACCGAAGTAAGTGATACACGATAGAAATACACGTGAGACAGAAAATATCTTAGAATTTAGGATGTCTGACAGAGAAGGTTCAACTTCAAGTAGGAACAACAGCCAAGCTAACATTTCGGACGAGGTGTTACGATGGTTTGAGAGGTTGCTTGGGGACATGAGAGATAGAACGGATAGACATGAGGCTTGGATGGAAATGTAAGATAAAATACTTGCCAATTTACAAATGGGAGCACCCAATACGAAGAGACATGGTAGACTCGTCTAGGGCGGAAGTTCGTGAAAAGTTTCGAGATGATAGCGATAAGGATGAAGGTGCAAGAATCAAGGTTGAAATGGAGAGGATGAGAAATAGAGGAGCTAGGTTTGAAAGGAGAGGAAGGAATCTTGTTGTAGACGTGGTAGATAAGAGTATGGGCAATATAAAAATGTCAATTCCACCATTCAACGGAAGGAGTGATTCAGAAGCTTACCTAAAGTGGGAGAAGAATGTAGAATTGATTTTCGATTGCCACAATTATTTGGAGGAGAAGAAAGTGAAGATAGTAGTCATTGAATTCACCGACTATGCAATTGCTTCGTGAGATCAAGTGGTTATATCAAGGTCGAGGAATCGGGAGTAGCCTATCAATACATGGGATGATTTGAAAGCTATTATGTGGAAGAGGTTCGTGCATAGTCACTATTATAGGAAACTCCATCAAAAATTACAAAGCCTATTCCAGGGGTCCAGGAGTATAGAGGATTACCATAAGGAGATGGAGATGTTGATGATTAAGGAAAATATAGAGGAGAATCGGGAAGTTACAATGGCTAGGTTCTTGAATGGATTGAATAGGGACATTGACAATGTAGTGGAGTTGCAGCACTATATGGAATTAGAAGACATGCTACATGTGACTATGAAGATGGAGAAGTAACTGAAGAGAAAAGGGGACAGCTAGGTATTCATCAAGATCTTCAGGTTCTACTTCTTGGAAGTCAAAATGGGATGATTATAGGGTTGATAGGGTTCTCTTGAATAGTAGAATCGAACCACCAAGGAAAAGGAAGAAATTGCTAGCAAGACTACACCCAAAATGGAATCCCAACCTTTTAGGAGTCGGGATATCAAATGCTTCAAGTGGTTGGGATCGGGGCACATTGATTTTCAGTGTCCTAATAAACAAGAAATGATCTTGAGTGTTAATGGGGAAGTAGTGACTGATAGTGATGGAGATGAGATGCCTGAACTAGATGATGTTAGCAATGGTGAGGTGGTAGAATATTTGGTCGAAGGGAAAGCACTTGTGCTGATGCATTCTCTCAATACATAAAACAATGTGGAAGAAAAGGAATAGCAACGGGAGAACATCTTTCATACTAGATGCCATGTCGAGAACAAGGTATGTAGCTTGATAATTGATGGAGGTTGTTGCATAACATTGTTAATACTATGCTTATTGAGAAGTTAAGACTAACTACAACCAAACACCCTAAACCTTATAAATTACGATGACTAGATGATTGTGGAGATGTTAAGGTGAATAAGAGAGTATTGGTGAATTTCTCAATTGGGAGGTATAGCAACGAGGTGTTGTGTGACATCGTTTCTATGCATGTTGGCATATTTTGTTGGTAGGTCATGGCAGTATGATAAGAAGGTGAAACGTCATGGATTTAAAAATAGGTACAACTTTGATAAAGACGAAAAATCTATTACACTTGTACTTTTAACACTACAATAGGTCTGTGAAGACCAAACGAAATTGAGAAGTGAGGAAGAAAGAAAGAGAAAAGAGAGGCAGAGAGAGAGAGAGAGAGAGAGAGAGATGTGGCTAATTTTGAGAAAAACAGAGTAGAGTCACAAGAGAGAAAAGAAAAAAGTCTGNTTGGTAACTTTTCATAATTTAGGAATTTTTGTGATTCAAAGGTGTTCCCTATAATTATTTTATAAAATTGTTCTTTAGAGGCTTTTTTTCATGAGGTTACATAAAGATTTGAAGAAGATTTTCATCTTCTAGATTTTCATCTTCTAATAAACAATAGTAATT